CCCCCCCCCCCCCCCCCCCCATCCCTCCATCCTTCACGCAACCACTCATTCTCCGTCCTCGAACCCACAAGGACTCACCCACAGAAATAAAATGTCCCATCATTTTAAAAAAAATAGCAAAAAGACAAAAACACGTGCGATTGCATTATTTCCTATTTTATACTGTACTATTTCCTGCCATATACTGTTTAATTTGTTTTAAAGGAAGAGTCAAGTGAAGTTGAGAACACTTTTAGTCCTGTCCTCTTTAAGGGAAGCATGACGTAGACGATACTAGCGTTTTTGGTTTGCGTAACACCAGTAAAGAGGTCTTGCCGTCTCAGTCCTGTGTTATGTTGACAGTGGTGTCCCTTGTGTCTTAGTCGGGTCTTTGGGAAGGGGGTTTCGTTTGACCGTTCGCCACACAGAAGAGTTTGAAGCTGTTCATCTAGGAGGTTTTGTCTGGGTACAACTCAGCATCAGAGACGCTCAGCTCCTGGGGAGACACGCGCGTCGCTGCGCTGGCGTCAGCGTGTGAGTGAGCCCGGCTCTGAAAGCTGACGGCCAAGAGTGCGTGAAAGGCTACAGCCCCCACCGCCCGTGTCCCCCCGCCCCGCCCCCTTGCCCCGCCTCATGCCAGAGCCGGCGGAGCTGACTGGTGGGGTATCTGAGGAAGGGCTTCCGCTTTATGACTCTGTACTCTTTCTTGCCTTTCGCTTTTTACCTACTTTCCCTCCAGTCAGGGGCAAGAGGCAGGGCGGGGGTCGGGAGATGATATATTAAGTCAAAGGAGAGCCCCAGCCTGCAGGGGGGAGGTCCGTGAGCTGGTCGGAAGAAGAGGGGGAACGTAGAACGAGTCTTAACCCCAAACCCAGTATGTAAATGCGGGGCCACCTGCAATTCTCTCTAAAGCTAGTGCGGTCCTGTCTGCTACATGTGCTTAGAACTCCTGGGAGGTATGTTGTTATTATTATTATTAGTAGTAGTAATATTAGCAGTAGTATAGTAGTAGTATTTGTAGTATTAGTTTTAGTGGTGGTAGTACTTAATAATAATAGTAGTAATATTTTGCTGCGGTAACAGAAGGCTGTAAAATGAGCTGTAAAATACCAGGTGGTATTAACCGATGCTAAGGTGCCAGATTTTACTCCTGTTCGTTATATATGTGTAACCGGCCATTTTAAAATGTATGGTTATGTACATTGCGTTTTAAGTTCTACTGTTATTTTTTTGTGACTGGATGAACTTTTTTAAAAATCCTTCTGGGTGGAATGCAAGGTCCTCAGCAGAAATGTATAGCCAATGAAGCGAAGTTCCCTTCAGGAACGGGGCCACCGCACGCAGGTCAAAGTTCACCTTTCCGAGTGGCTCTGAAGGAGGCCGTAGCCTTTCTGTGCGCTCCGCGTCAGGCTTAGCAAAGCAGCCTTCCGGCTCTTTCCGTGCGGACGGCGAAGCCTTGAGGACAGACTGCAGCATGTTGCCATTATGTCGATTACGCCACGGGTTATCAGAAGGTACGAGAAATGCCACTGTATTGAGTCTCTTCCTGCATCTGTTTATTGCTAGTTCCTTATTGATGCCCCAGTGCTTCTGGGAGGTGTATTTTACTTGTTCCATATCCAGAATTTACTTCGCTTACCATTTTTGTCACGTTAGACAGGTAACAGGTTAATTTCCACTAATGTGATTTGGGTTAAAAGTTACATCCAACAGCACAACAGCAATGTCCCGACTTGGGATTTGAACCTACAATCTTTCAGTTGTTTGTCTGACTTACAGTGCAGTGAAAGGGCAGCTTTGAGAATAGGCAGGGTGTTCTGTGAGGTGGCTCGGTCGATCTGAGCGACACAGAGGGTCGTGACGCGACTGTATAAAAGGACAGTGTTACTGGGGCCTTTCAGGTATAAAATCTGACGGAGCTGTCAGTCTTTTTGTGTCCTAGGATGTATATCTAGCCACCTCTGTAGAACTGTACTCTGTGAAGATGAATCCGCTTCAGGTCTCCTTTTCCCAACACAATGATGCACTTGTCCTTTTTTATCTGTTATATTAATTGTTGCCTTTACTCACCATTTGTTTTTTTTATGTTTTAGAATAAAACTTGTGCTGAAAATCATGACTCGTGTATGACCTAGTGAATTTGTACTTATCAGGTGTTTAATTAATGCAATAATTATTATTAGCCATTCACATTTACCGCAAGATCTTTACTGAAGCCATCCAACAGCATTTATTTCAGACACTTCATGGGCCTCAGGATGCACAAAGGGTGTTTCAAAGTACAATAATTAAAAATATATTCTATGATTGGTTGGCATTTGTCCAGCCTTTGTGTGGGCAAAGCTTGTGATTGGGCAGCTTGTCCCCATGGATACAGGTCTAGCCCTGATCTACAATGCCACCTAATGGCGATTGTTGGCCTTTCTTTAGCTGGCAGTTTAGAAATGTGTGCGGCTAGGGAGCGGTGGGGGCCCCTGGGAGATCAGAGCGATTGATGCTCTCATTGAGATGGGGGGGTGTTTGAGAGGCACACAATGCAGTTTGGCAGGCGGGAGATTCTGGGCCTCCTGATGCCTCAGATTTCTCCTGCTCGTTCCTCTTTCTTTCCCTCCATTTTCTGTGGCTGTCCCATTGTTGTAGCCAGACTGTTGCTATGACAACATCCTGTTGCTAGGCTTAGGCCTGGCTGTTCTTTGTTGCTCGTCCTGGCAACGCTACTGGATCGGAAGTTGCCCCTGGCAACCTTCCAGTTCTGGGTGCTATTGGAACAGATAATGATTATTACTGTGAAAACTGCACCGTGCAACCACTCCACCTCCTCCCCCCCCCCCTCCCAACCCTGATTGCTCCTCCTTTTCTTTTGTAGATTTCCCCTTGTTCACTATGAATAATTCAGTTTGGTACCCGTCCAGGTTTCTGCCTGTATGCATAACTTTTTGGCATGCAAAAGGTATTTTTTGACGACGCAGTGAAGAGTGCCCTGGCATGTCCTGTCAACAGGGGATCCTGGTCCTCATTCCAGGAGCTGAGAGGTAGTGCTGGCCCACAAACCACCACCCCCGCCCCCCCCTCCCCGCGCCAAGCCTGGCGCCTTCCAGAAAATGACGGTGAAAAATCTAAGGCAGACTTGAAAACAACGTCAGTTCGAAGCTTTTACTCATTGCTGCTGTTAGCTTGTGGGACAACATAACGTACAAACTCTTAAATTGCTCAAATGGACATGTTTTAACTAACTGAAATAAAATAAAAAACAAATGTTAAGTTCTTTTCCATGCTGTTTTTAAGACTATTCAGATGAAGTAATAATTTATCTTCAATGACCGTTAATGACATCTGGAAATGTTGTGCCCATTTTGCGTATATTAACACATAGTGTGCATGTACAGTACTAGTGTACTGTGTATTCGTGCAGGATTCGCTAAGGATCAGGCAAGCCAGCTCTGCAACTTAAGACAAAGTAAAACTAAATAGAAACCTACCTTTAAAACATAAGCAAATAAACTTTACTGAAACTAACTTAAACTAAATTTCAAATGAAAATTGTAAATAACAAAATAATAATACTAATATTATACTAACATTCATGTGGTAGTAACGGAAGCAAAATACATAAAACTGAATTCAATTTATCACGGAGCACCGAAATCCCTCCCCTTTGCAAGTCGAGTTTATGTCCCGTCATAAATTACAAGCGAAAGAATATTTCAATAATGTTTATTTTGCTTTGTCAAAACATTCAAAAACCACTTTGGGCAGACTTTGTTTATGCCTCTAGATTTAGGACAGATCTTAACTCACAAATGTCCGTCGCAGTGTTTGCCAAAATGATTAAGTTGGTTACAATAATATCTGGGCATAGGTGTGAATATGATCAGTAATCTTCCAATGTGGCACTAGGTGGCGATGTGCCCCAGGAAACCATACTACTTATCGCTCTCCGAGGCTGCTATTTTTAGCCATAGACCCAAAGAAGGATCGTTTAAACGTGTCAAATTGTAAATTTCTGTGAACATTTATGTTTTCCGCAAATGCTAAACTTCATCTGGTTCAAGTAAATCTGCGTTTTAATGTGAAGATCCAGTTAAAGTCACATATCGCCGTAGTATCCAGTAACCTGGAGTAACTATTCGGAGTTACGCCACCTTTTATCGTTCGCCAAAACCTGCTTCAGCATTAAGTCAGCTCTTAGCATTTTAATAAAAGTTGAAATTACACACTACAATAAGTGTAATAAAATAACCCAATGAAAGTTTCTATGCCATTATTAAAGGTTCTTCCATTATTCACGAATTTTAAATATATTTGACCATCAATTTGGTGTTCAGTACAAGGTCTGTCTGCTGGAAAAAGTGTACACAATATTTGCCTAAAAGTTTGTGGACACCTCTGTAAAATAGAGAAAATTATTAAGCTTGCCACACCCATTGCCAATACAGGTGTAGTTTAGCATATAGTTGTGCCAGTTACAGCAGCAACGAGTCGCAGCAAAATGAGTGGTTATTATGAAGAGGTTAGTGACCTTCAGCTTGGCACCATCATCGGACGCCGTCTTTCCAACAAGCCAGCTCACAGATGTCTCTCTCCCCTGTTAGAGTGCCCTGGTCGACCACAAGCAAAGTAACTGTGAACTACTGACATTAGTGGTCGGCCACACAAGCTCACAGAAATGGGCCTGATCACTCAACATCAATACCCAACCTGAATGGCGGCAAATCCCCTGAGCAATGTTCTAGCATCAAATGAAAAGTCTTCCCAGAAGAGTAGAGCCTATTATAGCAACACTAGATGAATCAACTTCATATTAATAGCTTTGGTTTTGGAATGAGACATTAGACAAGCAGGTGTCCTCATATTTTTATCTAAATAATGTGAACTTATTTATATATAAATAGAACTAGGTTTCTTTACTGAGAAACCGGAATGTGTTGCAGGTTTAGACATTACAATTTAATACAGCTGTATACATACACTGTGAATGTATGTGATTTAATGATGCTTTTTAAGGCTACAGACCCCATCAACCACCATGAGTAAATGACATAATTGAGGTCAGGCTGAGACTGTCCGTCTTCATTCTTATACAATTACATACAGCAGAGCAATATATTTAACTATTTGTCTAATAACAATGTGACAAACATTTTAGAGTTCTATTCACTTTTGGGAATGATATCTCGCAGCCAAAAAATTACAGCTAGTCATTTTGCTAAGTGACACAACTGCGGATCTGTCACAAGCCAACAGCCTCTTGGGTCTATTCTAATAACTGCTGTAGCACCCAGTCTACTAAGGTGTTTCCCAGGATAACGTAACTGGGTCTTGGCTATACTCATCCACCAAGCTTACCAAACTCATTCACTGGCATAGAACAGGGGAAACTGGCAATGACAGACTCAAGGTGAAGGAAGATTTGGTTCAGTTCAGTTTATTTTTTTTGCGGTTGCCCTTCCCAGCACAGACACCCCAAAGCACTTCACATTCAGTATTGTGATACATAAAGCAAACATGAAACCATTAGCATTCATACCGGCATTGCGGAGGGACCGAAAAGCAACTTATACAATTTCAAGAACTGGCATGAGAAAAGCCAGAAGACAATTCAGAGGCGGCTGATACAAGATAACAAAGGTGACAGATCGTAAATAACCCCTGGAATTCCTAGGTCAAATGGCATGTGTGTGTGTCCCTCCCCATTGGGACGAGGAACTATACACAATTCAGAAGGAAGTCTGTGTTTTGTCTGAGCATAACAACAAGCAGTGAGGTGAACTTCCGGTCACACATGAGAACAGTGGTTAAGGAGCATGCTCAGAGCGTGGAAACCGCGTGGGAGAGACGGCTGAAGTCAAGGCACCCATGTGGCTGACTGTGCAGATTCACTCAGCAAACTGCTCCCAGGGACAGCAAAAAGAAATGAATGAGGCACAGGTTAGTTATCTGTGCCCATGTCCATAAGGTTATAGGTACCAATCCTCTGGCTGACTGAGTAAACGCATCACTGCCGGCTCCTCGATCAAGGCCCATAACCTCAACTCCTCCAGGCTTCCTTTTTGCTGGCTGTGCCCAAAACTTGCTCTCATCTCTGTACACGCGTGTCTGTCTGTCGTGGACGGCAACGTGGCGTCATGTGAAAACCAAAGAAATCCTACATACCTGTACTTTCGCAAATGGCAAATAAATATAGCATCTTAATCAGTTTATTTATTTTCTTTCTGGAAATATAGGAAGACAGGAAAGGAAGAATGTCAGTTATCCAATCAACTTCATGGGAACGACTGGTTAAGAAAGCAAAACACAGTCTGTTTTCAACTGGGAGGGGCACTCTGCTGGGAGTGATTTTCTTCTGGGACTGAACCTATGGAGAGACTCTTGAGGTTCTTACTATCTTGGTAGTAGATCGGCAAATGTGAGATGACAAACTTTGGGTTTTATGTTTTATGAGCGATTCTTTTTATACCCAGTGACTCGAGCCTAGCAGACGCACTCATCATTTTTAACATTCTTATATGAATGTGGCCACATTTATAACCCGTTTTATGTGTTTTGCGTGTGTTTGTGGCTACAAGCATTCATGGCCATCTGCAGATGGTTCCACCACCAAAGGAATGCAGACGCAGACTGTGAGAAGATTCCGGCATGTTCCAGTAGCTTAGAGTGATCCAGGGAGGGTTTGGGAGCTTCTTGTGGGCAGCGGTAGAATTTAAAAATGCCCAGCCGAGCGCTCCTCCGCGAACCAGGTTCCGGGCCCAGGCATTAAGCGCCGTGGGAATCTGGAATCACGATTCACGATGCATTTACTCTCTGCGCTGACAGAGGGTCATTGCGAGGTCTCTGATTGGCTGACCTGGCAATTCCTGCACTTTTAACATGCCTTGTTGATTATTAGAGATTCCGGCAGAGATGAGGGCGCGGTCTTGAATGAGTTCCCACTGCCCTGAATCGCAGACTGTAATTAAGAAGAGTGGGCCAGCTTGGCCCTATTCTGACCCTCCTGGGGGAGCAGGGGCTAAGTCAGATGCGACCCTTTTTCATATCGGAAGGCGACAGCACCCAACTATACTGGGGGATCTGGAAGGGAGGACATCTTGATGGATATTTGGGATTATCCTCTGTGTATTCCCACAGCATGTCTGAAAGTTCTTTTACTTGGGATTAAACATTCCCACAGTGTATTTTAAACCTCATTCATTAGTGCACCAACCAGGGACTTCTGTGGTCACATCCCTCACTTTCCCATCTCATTGGCTGACTAAAGATTTCTGTTGCTCTTAGGTTTACATGTGTGCGTTTGCTGTAACTTACATTAAGTCCTCACAGCATCATTCAGAAAGCTGTCTACAAAGGCTGAGGTTGACCAATCGGTCCCCAATCTTTCCTCTTTTGGCTGTGATTGGCTGTAAAGCAAGGAGGCCCTACCCCTGAGCAAAGAGTTTCTGCTCATTGACATTAGATCAACATTCAATATTTGACTGGGTTGAAGAGAGGTGACATAAAGGAATTATCGATTCAGTGAGTACCGTGAAATGGTCTGCCTGAAATAACCATCTCAAGATAGCAAAATCCTTTTCCTCCAGAGGCGGACTATGAAGGCTGCTGATAAACAGATTGATGGGTTGTGTGAAGCCTGACAGCTAAGATGGCCAACAGCGAGATTTTCCTCTTTCCTCAGCACCGGCTACCCGCCTCCACCCTCAGCACTTTCTTGCTGTTTTTTTCTGCCTTTCAGATGAGCACCTAAAACTTTCCCCCAAAGTCGTCTCTCGGGCTGTCGGCTCAGATGCAAGCTTTGCTTTATGTTGGTTTCAAAGACGGCTCCGCTGTCACTCAGAAACGAATTAGCCAAGTAAACAGTAAAAGTCACAAGCAAAATATGCATCTGGAGCTCTCACATGACACAGCATTAGTGACTTGGTTTACATGCACTTTGTACAGCAAAAGCAGGAAGCACAGTACAAAGCCAGTTCTGACAAAATCAACTGTTCCCAGTGTCTCGAACATCGTATTAAGCTTGTTAGTACCAGTGCTGAAGAAAATGAAATTCCACCAAAAGTGGAAAGTGGGGTTACCTCTGCAGGACCCAGGAACAAGGTCTTACACTGGAATTGATTCACCACCAGCTGTATAAATGGGGAAACTGACCAGCTGTACTGTTAGTTTGGACAAAAATGTAAACAAAACTTTAGCTCAAAATATCCACTGTGCAATAATAAACATAAAATAATGTGCATTTCTTTTAAATGTGTAAACAGGGTACTTTTTCCTCTAACAGCTTGCAGTCTGGTTGTGAATGCTGAGAATAGCAAATGATCCCATATAGTCCACTGGGTTTCCATGTGGTTGTGGACCGATGTGTGTCTGCTGAGCCTCCATCTTCGCTGACACTCAGGCCTCCAGGTCACAGGCCTTGGCTCAGGGGTCTCTGTTCCCCCCCTCCCCTCACTGTGATATCCCCATCCTGCATGTGGGCGCTTCTGCCTTCATATGGCTTTCATTCCGTCCCTCTGAGGTCCCTGGTGAGGCCAGGCAGGGGTCAGCCCCGGATCAGTTCCCAGCTGCAACCCCACCGTACTCCAGGAGGTGCTGGGCTTACGGGTCGCTGCTGACATTCATTCCAGCTCATTCGATTAACAGACCTCGTTAAAAGCGAATTGTCTCTATTCAGCGTAACACATCTCACAGGCTGTAAGTGTGTGGCGATGCGAGTGTGATAACTGGGCACAAGCAGGAACAGGAACCAGGCCCTCCAGGAATTACAGCCACCCGTCTATCAATCTTCTGTACCACATATCCTATGCAGGGCTCCTCCAGGGATTCTAAAGTCGAAAATCTATCCTGGGGTTGGCCACATGGGGGCAGTCTGCTGTCTCCCACTATCGTTCCCTGCCCCCTCTTTGATGGATGCCACTTCCCTCCGCTTTCAGGTGCAATCTGGGACGCCAGGGACACATTGCCTATTGTGAAATGGTGCTTCCAGACTATTGGCGCACACCAACCTCTTTGTCAGCATGGACGGCCCAGCTTCAGCCCTG